ATTTATTATAATTATATTTCAAATTATTAAAATTTTATATATTCCACATTTTCCAATTATATGTTTAAGAAAATGTTTTAATTCTGCCTCATATTTGTGCCTTTTGTATAATTTTTGTACTATTCTGTGTAATGTTTTATATTCGAAATCACATCTTTTTTTAAAACCTTCATAAATAATTTAATTATTTATTTATTATTTTTTATAAAAATTTATATGGTCTAAATAAATGCAATTTCTTTTTGTATTCATTTTTATTTGTTATATGAAAATTAAGAAATAAGTGTTGCAAATCGGTTTATTTGTCTTTTGCTAACTACAATATTTTTCTTACAGGTTCGAGAAATTACACCAATATGGTATTCCAAAAAGTTTTTATTAAATGGCGGACTAGTGTTAATCGCTACAATAACTATTGCCATACCTACTGCTAACTTTTCCGAAGATGACGATCCGTTTAATGATAAGATCATGCTAAAAGAACCGTTGCATTACAATGTCGAAATACGATTTTTCTTCAAGGACAATATTTTACTCGGAGAATGTGATATTCTTATGAACATTAACCGTTCATTGTACTTAATTACAATGAACTCCGTACCAGTTTATATAAATAAAGCAGTCATGATTGATAGTAAAAATATTACGATTCAAGCTTCTACAATTATTAACAGATTCAAGAATACTCTTACCATAAATTTGCATCAGGATGTACCGCCTGGTACATACAAGTTAAAAATAGCATATGCTCGTATTATACATAGAAACAGAAATTTTTCGCTACCTGTATATCAAGACATATTAGGTGATCAAATGTAAGTTAAAATACTTCAAACACATCGTTGTATCGTAAATATTATACGGTACAATTCTTTATATAAAATATTTTTATTATATTTATTGTTATCTTAACATGCAAAAATCTATACAGAAAATTTATCACTTTCTAGACGTTTAATTATACTCCATATCATGACACTCGAGGCAACAAATTATAAAATATCTTTATGATCTATGAACCTTAATATTTTTAATTCAATTATAATTAATAATATATCTTTATTTAAACTATAGCATTGAAATATTACAGATTGAACCAAACAGGTGTCGAGGTAATGAAAGCCTTACAACTATTTCCGCACATGAATGAGTCAACCATCAATTCCACTTTTAAAATTGCCATCAAACATGGTGAAGAATACACAGTTTTATCGAATATGCCTATACGAGCACAAAGTAGAGCTAACAATCGTATGATGTGGACTCATTTTGAAGAATTAATATTAATGTCTTTTCAACACATAAGGGTTGTGATAACCACATTTATTAATGTTAATACTGACTTTCCAAACGTTACCATATGGTGCAGACAAAGTGCTCGACAACTAATTTATTATGCAAGAGATGTTATTGAAGAGGTTATGCCTTATTTTATACAAAAATACTTGCAGACATTATCAAAATTGGATATTGTTGCATTCTGGCATTCTCACGACGATAACGATGTGATATTGGGACTCGTTTTGCTGAGGTAATACTACTTATTAAGATTGACATAAAAAATAAGGTTGTCAATGATATTTTGAAATTAGAAGATATACATATTTTCATGTAAATATGTTAATTAAGAGACAAACAAAATTTATACAATGACACTCACGTTACGCACTTGAAAATTTATAAATTTAGCTTTTATTTTAAATAAAAAATTAAAACTATTATTCTTTCAAATCAGATTTTAATTCAGATTTCACTACTATAATCATGCAAAATATCTGTGAGTGTTTTACGCTACAATTAAAGAAATTGCTATAAAATCTCTTTATTGCATCAATCATATTGAAAAGAACTCATCGAAAGTTTTTGTTGAATATGTATTAAGCTCATGTTCATCCGTTACATTATTTATGCAAAATGTGTCAAATTCTATTTTGCTTTTCACCTTAAATATATTCTGTACGCTAATGCTGTATGTAACATTTGTTACCTCTTGACTTAATAGAGAAATTATAATATAAATATCGTTTATTAACAATAAGTATAAATAAAACGCAGAGTTATTAAAATAATACATTAGCCCTTTTTGCATTTATTAAAAACTTTGAACACAAGTCTGTTAATTGAAAATAATATTTAGAGAAGCAGATATCATTTATAATGCAACCTTGTATCCCGTTATACGCAAAAGAGAAGTTGCACATATGATGGCGCGTCAATTGGCATATATTTGGTGTGAAGATGCGTTACTGTGGTCAAAAGAAGGTTTTGTTACATTTTTCGGAGCGTATATCTTGGATCAGGTTGTGTATCTTTAAAATTCATATACTGCATTATTGTATTATACGGCAAACAGGCAAAAGTTTTATAGCAGCAATCGGCGGCGCTAAATGCATGTTGCAGATCCGAATACACTTTTCAATTTAATATCAATTTGATCATATTAAACTTTCCAGGTATACAAAGATGATCACATGATGGATTTAATGGTCGTACAAGCGCAGCAAGATTCTTTACGTTACGACACTCCTTCTACTAAAGACTCACCAACATTGAAAAACACAAACATTTATCAAGTCAATTCACTAAGGTCGCCGCCAAATCATATGAAAAGTAAGTTCGAGTAAATATTGCTGAAAAATTAAATACTGCCACTTTATTTTGTAAAGCAAATGTAACAATGCGATGATTGCACGCAAGTTTATAAATACTACACAAAAATTTAAGAGAAGCTTTATTTACGTTATATTATAAAAACGTTAAATTAATACAAATAAAATGTTTTATTTAATTCAAATAAGTTTGAACAAAAAAGTGCTTAGACAATTTCTCACAAATTTAAGAATATTAGGAAAAAAAATTTTATAAAATTTAATAATGGATAGACACAACCATTATTTACTTTTACAAAATTGGTGGTAGAATTATGACAAATTTTCATTATTAACTAAAACATAATTTTAATTGCCACAGCATTTATAATATGGCGCATGTTATACAATATCATTCCTGATGCGTTTTGGCGTGGTATCCACACATATATAAATACGTATAAACAGTGAGTAATAATATTATATTATAGTGTAACAATTTCATAAAAAATTGATCATTGCATAAAATAACGAATTCGCTTTATGTTATTGTACAGAGAGCAAAGATATAAGCTTTGATAATTTAAGAAAATTAATATGTTAAAATAAAAAAAGTAAATAAAAAAATCTTATTTCTTTTTAAAAATATCAGTTTTAAAATAAATTTCAAATAAAGTTTGGTTATAAATACTTTACTCATATTAATAGTCTTCGAGGTAAAAAATAGACTAAAAAATAAATTTCAAAAACATAATTTTGAAAATCAGCAGTAACTTTGAAAAGCCTTAAAAATAACATGTTGCGACTAATAATAATTTCTATTGAAAGATAATTTGGTTGAAAAAGAAAAATAATCCGATATGAATATAACACTAGGCAAAAAGAGTTTATTCTGTAGACTATGAAAAAATTTTCTTACACATACCACATTATAGATATTTAATAACATAAATATGAATCATTGTTTGCTTAAATTAAATACTATTTTTTTATTTTCCATTAAAAAATTATTCCAATGTTTACATCTAAATAATTTTCAATTTTCTAGCCGTATTTATATTAAACACGACACCAGATGATTTATGGGACACTATGCAAATTATTCATAATAAAAGTGACCCGCAACATACGCTCAGTTCTCATTTAAAAGAAATAATAACCAATTGGATAACGAAAAAATATTATTTTGTTCTAAATGTGACACAACATCGTTTTACACCTATAGCGGCTTTCGACATAGAATACATTCAATCTCCCTATGTATTCGTTAATAATGAAACAAAAATTTGGATCCATGTAACATATATGTGGCAGTCATCTGTTAATTTTAACAAGACTATTCATTCGTTCTGGATAGTCTCGAATAAATCACGTACAGTATTTGATTACAGTAACTCTAATGCAACGGATTGGATTATAGTTAATATACAACAAACTGGTAAATATAGAACAATTAAAGTATGCGTTGTCTTAATACATTTAGCTATAATTACTTAAAAGTTTTACAAAATTTCTTGCTTAACTTAAGCTTTCAAAGTTAAATTGTTAACTAAAAGAGATTATTTTATTAATAAATTAATTAATAATTTTCAATAAACATGTTTAAACAAATGCTTTAAAGTAAATTATTCAAGAATAATTAGTTTTAAAAGTATTTCAATATCAACAGAATATTTGTGTAAGAAAGTATTCCTTAATCAATTCTCGATTAAAAACTCTAATAAAAACAATTATGCCTCTGCGTTATAGGATATTATCGCGTCTATTATGATTTTGAAAACTGGATCAAACTTGAAAACTACTTAAACTCCGAAAATTATGCGAAAATACATATTCTTAATCGTGCCCAAATCATCGATGATGCGTTTTACTTCTTTTTACAAAGAGAACTAGGTTATAACTTGTTTTGGAATCTTACAAAATTCGTAACACGAGACGCGAATTTTGTCACATGGTATCCTATGATTAAAGTTTTCGAATCCTTTGCTTGCCTATATCCGCTTGGATATGGTTATAAAATAACGGTACGTACTGATAAATTTCGACGAAAAAGAGTTAGATATTACACACTGTTTATTAAATAAATAAAACTAATAGTATTAAATTTGAATTTAACGATTTTTTAGGAAAACATGAAAAACAGAATAAATGAACTTCTTACAAAAATTGGATACACTGAAAAACCGACAGATCACACTCTTACTATATATTTGAGAGAAGAAGCTGTAAAATGGGCATATATACTCAATGTTTCTGAGTGCCAAAAAGTAGCTACTTCGAAATTCAACAAGGAGCTTCAAAATTCTGTAGAAAACAGGTAAACCCGCTTTACAGCCGTAATATCTAATCAGAATGTTGTTGCACTTATGCTGATTTTAAATTATTTCATTATTAAAATTTCGAATAGTAAACGAAATTGTAGTAAAAAAAATTTTCTTGATGCAGTAATTTGATAGGGAAGAAATGGATATACTGCTGCAGTTTAAGAACTGCAAACCACACTATTTGGTACACAATATGGGAGAAATGGAAGGCAACGTCTGATGAAAGTTATATAGAATACCTAACTTGCTCTGAAAATAATTATATTATTTGCGACTTTTTAATACTATTGGAAAGAATTCCGTCTAATAATAGGAATTGGACCACTAAACGTGCTAACGCATTTCTTTCTACTGTTGCCAAATATGCAAAAAGAGAGGAAGTAAAATCTTGTCTTTTTAAAATTTTGGAAAATATTAGTTTTAGTTCAAATAGGTAATAACGTTTTCTTGTAACAATACAGGGTGTCCCGATAAAATGTATATAGATTTTATTCTCATATATATTTTGACGAGTAAAATGGATAGACGTTAACTTGTTGTTCTGTTGGTTACCTACAATTAACAAATGTTCAAAGTACTCATCAGCACCAATGCATTGTTGGTGTGTAACTGAGTGACATATGCACTATATTTTTTTTAGCAAAATAGCAGCACAAGCATTTTTAATTTCTCAGGCCGTGCAATGCTCTTAGTTTTGTGGCGTATATAGTGTTCCTTCGAGTACCCTAAGCAAATGTACAGTGGTGTTAAGTCAGGAGATCGAGATGCACACTTCACACTTCCTCTTTGTCCTATCCATTTTATAGAAACGTGACATCAAGAAAATTTCTCACATCGGTTCGGTAATGTGGTGGTGCACACTGCTGAAAGTAACAGCAGTGTGCACCACCACATTTTGTTTCAGGTCATTAAAAGCTGGTATGATTTTGTCTCGCGAAAAAATGCCTGTGCTACTATTCTGCTAGAAATAATATAATGCGTATGTGGCTCTGTTGTATATCGTCACCAATACATTGGTGCAGATGATGATCATTTTGAACATTTGTAACATTATGGTAATTGCCAATGCAACAATAAGTTAACGTCTGTCTTATTTGTAAAAATGTATGGTACTATCATTTAAATTGTTAAAATATATTATAAAATGTATATTTATTTTATTGGGACATGCTGTATATCTCTGAATTTATACAATATTTCTTAATTGTTCATATATATTATAATAACTAATCATGAATATTTGTTCCATTTGTTAAACTTATCGATTTTTATTATGTTTTTGTAGGACAAATGACATAATTGCAACATTAATTGTAATTATTACACACTCCGGATATCACATGGCAAAGGTATATTTTCTCAACTTTATTCTAACACACTCATTTCTTGATATCTAAATATAACAATAATTTATATCTACATATATAATTTGTTACATATATAATATATCTAATTTAATTATACTGTACATTGTGAATTATGTGTTGCCAACTGCAGTGTGAGAGATTTGTATTGTTTGATATTATTAAAGTAATATGTTTTAGATACTTTGGTTCGCAGAAAATCATTATGAAATACCAATAATTCAAGCCATTGAAAGTAAAATAAGGAAACGAAGATTAGAATACGGAAGACTAATCAGTAACTACGGGTACTATTTTAGTAACATCAAAAAGACATAACTAGCGAAATAGCTGAGTCAAGATGAAAGACTAATTCACTTGTTGCTTGCATATGATCTTATATCGATAATTATTACAATCTCTTATCTAGTTTTTATCAATTAATATCTGAATATTCAAAACTATTTAATTTTCGTTCTGAACTATTTCTGTTATCTGAATATAATTATTACTTCTAATGCTATGAATTTTGAATAATGCAGATATTTAACTTTTTTAATGTATAAAGTGTTAATAACTAAATTATTAATTTAAAAAAATACACAAAAACATGCACAAACACCTAATAATGATTTAATAGCCATTTTTGTTTTACAGAACTTTTATTTTGTATTTTTTACTGTAATACATATAAATTTGTTTGCATCATATTTTAAAAATTGATACGTTTTACTGTGTTAGGTAACACAGTACTTGAATAAATTGAATATTTTATTTCATCAATGATTAATTTTATTGTATACAAAAAAAAATAAATTTGAATCTTTAAATATTATTACAATATCAAAACTTCGTGGTAATTTCAGTTTTATTATTTATATGTAGATTTAATTCATTATATTTCTTAATTTCCGTTCTCGGTCTGTCGATAAGTTTTCTCGTCTATCGATAAATATGGCATGCGGAAAGTGAACGTTTCTTAAACGCTGTTTACATGGCATAACGTGCACGTTCTATCAGTCATCAATATTTCTCTCAGTGTTCGATGTATGTTTGATACGGAAACATAGCGAATAGGGTTATATATCTCTTGACATTCATAATTTGAAGCGGTGTAAAGTGCATTATTCTCACAAAATTGCGCGATGCGACAAACTCTTCTAATTTAATTAATATATGTAGGTGAGTAGGCAACAACAAAATATTCTGCTTTGAAAATATAGAAGAATATATATAAATCACAAGTATAGCTTCAGTTTCCCGAAAGCATATATGTCAACAGTTATCATAAATTAAATAGAAACGTATAGGTTTGATATTTCTAAGATTATTAGTCATATTTTCCAATTTCGAATATATTGGATGATATTTTGCGTAGTTTTAGTATATTTCTGAGGGAAAAACAAAATATAAAATAATTAAAAAACGATCAGTTTTTTTTGTTAAAAAAGAATACACTTGTATATAATTATATATGATTAAAATATCCGTTTATGTGTAAATTCCGATTGATTCAAAAGAAATCTGAGACATTACATTAAAGAAGATACAAATAAATTTACATTTCAATCAGCCACAATGGATTAATAATCACTCACATAATTTATATCCAGCATAAATGGTTTAAGAACTGCAAACTACACTATTTGGTTCAAGATATGGCAGAAATGGATAGCAACGTCTGATGAAAGTTATTTAGAAAACCTAACTTGCTCAAATTATGATATTATTTGCAATTTTTTGAAGATAACAGTATTGGAAAAAGTTCAGCCTAATGATAGCAAACGGGCCACTATGCGTGCTTACGCATTTCTTTTTACTGTTGCCAAACATGCAAAAAATGATGAAGTAAATTCTTGTTTTTTTTTAAATTTAAAGAATATTAATTTCAGTTCAAATAGGTAACAACATGTTTCTTTCAAAATGCAGAATGTCCCAATAAAATGTTTATAGATTTTATTGTCATCTATTTCAGCAAGTAAAATGGACAGAAGTTAACATGTTGTTGTGTTGGTTACCTAAAGTTACAAATGTTAAAAATGACTACCATCAGTATTAACGATATATAACAGAGCATCATACGCACTGTATTGTATCTAGCAAAATAGCAGCACAGGCATTTTTAATTTCGTGTTTCAGGTCCCACAGTGTTCTCGGTTTTGTAGCGCATAGAGTGTTGTTTAGAGTGGCTCAAGTAAAAGTTCAATGTGTTAAGTCAAGAGATGTTGGATGGATATTTCGCACTTCCTCTTCAACTTATCCATCTTCCGGGAAAAGTGACATAAAAAAAATTTCTCTTATCGGTTTGTAATGTGGTTGCATACACTGCTAAAAATAACACTCTTCATTCAAGAGCAAGTCATTAAAAGCTGGTATAACGTTGTCTCGCGAAATTAAAATGCCTGTGTTGTCATTCCGCTAGATAAAATACAGTGCGTATGTCGCTCTGTTACACATTAACAATGCATTGATGCTGATGATCACTTCGAACAATTGTAACTTTAAGGTAATCAGCAAAACGATAAGTTAATGTTTGTTCATTTTATTTCCTAAAATGTATGTTAATAAAACCCGGGGATTGAGCTACCCACCGGGCGCGTCTCCAGGTGGCGGATAGGAGGACGCCCAGTAGGTGTGAGTTTTCTGAGGGGACTCAGTGCTGCTGGGTAGTGGCGGTTATAACCTGGCCCCACGGAAGTAAAACTCTGTGGAGGGTAAGGGAAGACCGTTGCCGCGGACCAGCTCCCCAAGCCAAGTTGTTAGCCATCGTGGCGATGGCTGCATGTCACTGGGGGAGCAGTGTCGCGAACGATGCCTCTGGGGAACCGGGCGAAACTCCAGAGTATCCAGCCTTACCCACGCATGCGGGGCTCTGCGTGGGTGGACCGTGTAGTTCCCTAGCTACTCGTGGGACCACTATGGATGTGAACTTAAACTTAAACTTAGAGAACGAAGTGGGAAATTGGAAGGGCTCGCGTGACGGGTCTCCGAGGGAAGGAGCTGAGACAGTGGTGACGGACGGAACCCTTAAGGGCTCCGGAAGTGAAGCCGGCCCGGCTGCGCGGCAGAAGGCTTCACCTCCAGCGAAGAAGAATCGGTGCGGGGCCGAAAAAAGGAGGGCGAAGCGGATGAGAGCAGCGGCTCTGGAAGGGGCTCGCTCTCTTCCCGTGGCTCCCCCTTGTACGCCGGTGGAGGTGGTGAAGGGGCACACCGATGGTGAACGTCGGAAGGGCTCCAATGAAACCCCTCCATCGGGCGGCCGTCCGCTGAAGTGGCAAAGGGTTCACGATGGGCACCATGCCTACTCGGACGCTGCTGACCCTCTGGCGAGGGTGATTGTGGCGGAGGGCTACCCCGAGACAAAGATCACTGCTGAGCAGTTGATTCTGTTGAGGGGTGCGGTCTTGAAGAAGATCGACAGGATCCAGGAGGGTCCGGTGCCCAGATTCCACAGCACCTCTTTAAGGAGTGGTGCGGCGGTGGTAAGATGCGCGGATGATGCGTCGCTGGGTTGGCTCGTGGGGCAGATCGGCGGCATCATTCCGTGGGAAGGCGCCAGGCTCAAGGTGATGGGCATGGACGCACTTCAAAAGCAGCACAGGGCGGTGGTTTGGGTCCCGGGACCTCCCGAGAGCGCGGCCACGGTCCTGAAGCGGCTAGAGAAGCAGAACCCAGGTCTCGTCACCGGGAGCTGGAAAGTGTTCGCGGAGGGGGTAGGGGCCACCAGGGAGGGTGGGAACCTAGTCCTTGGTGTCCCGGGGTCCAGTGTCCTCAAATTGAAGACACTGGACTTCAGACCATTCTTTGGGCTTGACAGGGTTGCCTTTCGGGTAAGTGGAGCCCAGGGGAGGGAGGGTAAAGGGGGATAAGGAGGAGCCCCCTAAAACGGTCTCGTAGTTAAATGGCGGGATCGAGAGGAGTGGCCTTCACCCAGATTAATCTGCATCACAGCAAAGGGGCCTCGGCTGTTTTGGCCAGGCAACAAGTTGGGAAGCAAACAGGCATATCATTGATGCAAGAACCCTGGGTAATCCGGGGTTGCATCAGGGGCTTGGCGGCCTGCGGTAGGCTCTTTAGGGCCCCATCAGTGGATCGGCCCAGGACCTGCGTGGCCGTCAAGGGTATGGAAGCCCAGCTAATACCTTACCTGTGTTCCAGGGACGTTGCGGCTGTAGAAGTGGATTTCACTAATGACTCCGATGACAGGAAGAAAATGGTTATTGCTCGGCCTACTTCTCTCATGACGAGGAGGAGGCGGTGCCGCCTGCACCGGTGATAAAACTAGCAGAATAATGCCAGGAGAAACATCTTCCCCTGATCATGGGATGTGACGCTAACGCGCATCACACTGTGTGGGGAAGCTCGGACACCAACGAAAGAGGAAGAAAAGTGTTGGAGTTCCTAGCATCTACGGATCTGGAGATTCTCAACACAGGAGACGAGCCCACCATCTGTACTATAGCGAGAAGAGAAGTACTCGATATCACTGTCTGTTCCAGGCAGTTGATACAGGAGGTAATGGAGTGGAGGGTCTCGACGGAGCCCTCGCTCTCAGACCATAGGCAGATCACCTTCTAGCTAAGACTAGAGGGAAAAAGGTCAAATTCAGAAACCCAAGGAAAACCAAGTGGGACTCCTATAGGGAAGACCTGGCCAGCAGTCTCAGAGGCTTCCCTAAGAGGCACGGAACAGAGGACGAACTGGAGACCTGTGTGGACTACTTGCAGAGGTCTCTGGTAAACTGCTACAAAAGTAATTGCCCCGAAAGGGCGGTTACAAATAGTAGAGGAACTTCCTGGTGGACCCCTGGACTGCAGGGTCTCAGAGTGGCGGTTCGTAGGGCCTGGAACAGAGCTAGGAACCGGGCCGCCAATCCGACTGGGAGTTCTCTAGGAGGGCACAGAAGGAATATAGAAATTCTGTGGTTAGGGCGAAACTGGAAAGCTGAAGGAAATTTTGCGAGAAAGTAGAGGGAATGCCCGAAACGGCAAATTTTGTCACATGGTATCCTATGATCAAAGTTTTCGAATCTTTTGCTTGCCTATATCCGCTTGAATATGGTTATAAAATAACAGTAGGTAAAGACAGATTTTGACGAAAAAGAGTTACATTTTACACACTGTATATTAAATAAATAAAACAAATAGTGTTAAATTTAAGTTTAACGATTTTTTAGAGAAACATGAAAAGCAGAATAAATAAACTTCTTAGAAAAATAGACTACACTGAAAAACCGACAGATCCCACTGTTATTATATATTTGAGACAAGAAGCTGTAAAATGGGCACGTATACTCAACGTTTCTGAGTGCCAAAAAGCAGCTACTTCGGAATTAAACAAAGAGCTTCAAAATTCTGTAGAAAACAGGTAAGCCGCTTTACCACCATAGTATCTAATTAGAATGTTGTTGCATTTGTGCATTATGCTGGTTTCATATTATTTCATCCTTAAAAAATCGAAATTCCAGTTAATTTGTAGTAAAAAATATTTTTCTTGATACAGAAATTTGATAGGAAAGAAATGGATATACTGTAAT